CCATACGTGTAAGACTTATTAGGTACTAACTCATTGGCAGTAATAGCTAAAATGATCATTTAACCAACTACAAGCTAACATTATGTTACTTTGTTAGCTAGCTTACATTAGCATTAGCTGGGAATTCATATCTTTCCTTCTGTATTGTGTAAAACTATCAAGGCTTAAATAAGTGGTCGATGCTAACATTAGCTTTTTTTTCTATAAAGATTTGGACATGAAATTTAAATTTAAATGAGGCCTAAGGCACCAAAACTTATTTTTTCTTGTTTCCGATAACTCCAAATCATCATTATTTTTTACTTTTTATTTGGGACAAATTCTAAAAAATCTTCTGCCCTTGACTTTTGAAAACTAACTAGCTAGCTGTTTTTCTTTTTTCAATTAAGAACAAATATGAACAAATTAAGATTAAAATGTATGAAGAAGGTATGGATATGCTACATAGTGGATAATAAATGTCGTAGTTAATGTTAAAAATGAATACTAGAAAATCTAGCACGTTAAAAATGTGTAATAATATGTTTTACTAGGATTTTCAGGAATTTGGACACCTTCACATTTGATAAAACGTTTCCAAGCAAGGCATCCAAAAATGTGTTTTCTGGTCATGGTACAATAACCTTTTTACCATCTATACATTTATGATAATACTTCAAATTATAACTACACGTTTAATCTTCTTCAGTGACTGGATAATGATTCAGGTTCTTTTTTCGACCAGCGCTGCCAAAGTTGAAGTTTCTCCGTTAAAAGGATTCAAAGCTTTTTTTTTCTTCTGCCGGCCTGACTCACTTCTTAATCACCCACCCTCTTCCGCCTCCTCTCCACCTTGATTCATCCACTCACATCCAGCAGGTGTAAGCAGGAGAGGCTGCACTTAGCTGGCCCGTTCTGTCAGAGGGAAAATAAATGGATATGTTTTTATTCATAGCTTTTGCGCCGTCCTGGACACTTTGATGTGGCTCTGAAAAGCCTCAGGAAGTCGGAGAGACTCTCTGAGTGTTGGTCGCTGAGTGTTGCAGCGGTTGCATCAGCAGTCGGGTGGGGGGGGGGGGGGGGGCACTTGTCCGTTTCGCTGTTGGGATGTGAGCGCAGAAAGAAAGATGAAAGGCTGTGACTGTGTTTCAGGTGGGGGGAGGGACTGGAGGACGGCACAGGTGAGATGAGAGGACGCAGTTTCTCTATCCACTCTGTCTGCCTTTTAATCTTTAGAGTTGTTGTCAAAGGTTGTATTAAAGGTTCCAGTTTGTGTTTCAGCCCTAAATGTCACTTATAAATCTCCACCCTGTCGAGACTATTGACCTGTGGAGTGCTTTTGTCCAGTGTTTTTTATTGATTGTGTTGATTGTTGTTCGCTGTTGTTTTTCAGGCAGGAACTGAAGAGTGATAGTATTTTACCCTTGGGGAACAAATTCCATACATTCTGGTCATGACATTCTCCACACTTTCTCTTTCACGTGTTGCACAAAGCGAGGGATTGTCAGTGTTGGTTGTGCTCTCGCAACTTGCAGTCGTTAATTCGGTTGAAAGTTGGAGGGGTGCTACTGGAAGAAGCGTACAGGAAGAGGAAAAGTCTTCTGCTATGTTGACTGTTTCTGGGTTTACAGCACTGCCACACGGTTAAGAACATTTGTGCACACACATGAACAAAGTCATCAGGCTGCCCATTGTAAAGACACATGCGTTCCCTCCTGGGTGATGTTGGAATATATCACGAGTACAGTGCATTTATTAAAAAAAAAAAAAAAAAAAGGCTGCAAGAGTCATAGTTGCTTGGGCATGCTTGGGTGGAGGTGGGGCTTTCAAAAATGACACAGAGTGGAAAAAGTGGTCGAAACTTGCGTTTGGCAATTGCGAGGTTGGTTTCAGATCGAACAGGGACAACGGCAAACAAGTGAGCAGGGTACCAGTGTCATGTGAAAGGCTGCATTCAAAACATTACTGATTCAGGGGAGCAGAAAGGCTCAAATTCATATTTTTAAGTCATTTAAAGTCCATAAAAATCACAAATTACAATTTATCTTCACACAATCCTAGTTTAATGCATTCTTACATAGAAATAAAACCTATGTGCGTGATTGTGTAAGCTTACGCTCAAAAAAATTCTCAGATTCAAACTTTTTTTGAGCACAGATCTATGAAAAAATGACTAGGTACATATAGTTTTGCTCACAACCAGTCATAGCATGCTTTGTTCAGTAAAATGCAACATGTGATCGGCCATAACCACAGAAGCTTCAAACCATACTGCCTCTGAACTTAAACTCTGTCCTGAACAATACTCAACTCTACAGTTTTTTTCGCAGTGAAGAAATCAATTCTGAGATGATTTTTTCTCTTCTCTTTTTACAAAACCCGACCCTGAAAAAAAAAAGCAGCAAATCTCTCAGGTCAAAGACGGTGAACACGATAACATCAGGCATTTCTACCTGATAAATGACTCAGCTGTAAATTATCATTCAGCAAAAGCACAACACATTTGTCTGCATATCCCCGTAATTACATTTTCTTAATTATAATCTTCTATTAGTCTGAGTTTGTGATCTGCAGGGGCTGTGCTGACGTTCATATCAGCCTTTTATCAACCTCAAATAAATAAAAAAAACATTCTAAATGTATGTTTTCACACTTGATTAACATAAGAAGAACATTATAGAAAACATAATACATCTCTCTCCTCATCTTTTTTTAATCTTGTAATGTCGGACAGTTAATCTGTCTCTCAACACTCCGCGCCAAACCTCTGTCATCCTCCTCCAATCGCTCTGCTCTCTGTCGATGTGTCCCCTCAATTTTTCCCCCCTTGCTCCCTTCATCTCTCCTCTGTCTTCATTGTCTGTCTGCTCGCTTGTTTCCTCCTCTCTATATTCATCGCTCTTCATCTCTTATCATCTCCCTCCGTCACCCTCCCTTGTCGTCTCGCTCTGTTTTCTCTCTCTGCTCCTTTGTCAGCTCGTCTGTCTCTGCCTCTTTCTTGCTTATCAAACTTTGACATAAAAGTCTATCACTTTCTCTTGTCTCCCTCCTTTGGTTTTCTTCTTTGATTCCCCTCGGCCGGCGTCTTCTGGTCTATTTTAGTGTTTTACTTTCTGCCTCTTGATTCCTGGCTCTGAATTATTGAAAAGATTGACCCCTGGCTGCACAGCTGCTGTTTGGGTGTGGTGCGTGTCTCTTTTTCTCTCTTTACATTACGCTTCTAGAAAGCCACTGGGAACCCGATAGTTACACAACAGTGTTCATACTTCATATTTATTTATGTCTAGATGAATTCAAAGGGTCAGTGTTACACTCCCTGAAGTTTCTGCACTGAAATTGATTTGCGAGGGACTTTTCTTGGAGATGACCCAAAGCTATAAAAGCTTTCTAACTATGAAATTTAAGATTTATGGAAATCGAACCAGTGACTCGTGAAAAATAAGTTTCATTCCAAAACAAAAAGTCATGAAAGTTTTTTGATATAATTCCCAAATCTTGGTTTAAATCCAATCATGGCATACATGTGTTAGACACAATATTGTCAAAGAATCGAGTGATAATCAGACAGCCAGTCTTTTGTTGACTAATGGGGTGAAGTTCTTGCCATTGAAGAACTCATTTTATAGGCAAATGTTGAGTTAGGGTTGTTCCACACTAGGGGACCTGGATCCGAGAACCCTTGTATTTGGGTACCGAGTCCTCTTGAAGAGGTGGTCCAACTGGAGCGCGGTCGGCTGGAGATGGGAAGAGGGTAATTGTTGGCGTCTCAGAAATAACAAAAACATCCACAGTTAGCAAGATGGATTCAGTCCTTGAGCGGTTGCCATGGTTGCGTCAAATTATTTTCTGCTTCTTGGCGTCTTTCCAAACCATTTATGTGCATATTGCCACCTGCTGAATGTGTACATATGCAAGGGCACTCGAGTAGGTGAACGCAGACCAGCGGGGGAGGGGAGGGGAGGGGGGAGCAATCGTGTTTGGGTAACCCTTAATGTAGCTCAAGCTAACATACTAGCTTTGAAGGGTTACCTTGGCTTTTGGTGCAGACGTATGCTAACTGCTGACTATGATGCATTTTAAACACGTGAAGCCTCTCTGTCTGTGTACATTTTGGTGGTGTTAAGTGGCAGGAAACTTGCGGCCCAGATGCAACGCTCTCCTCCTCCTGCTTCCTCAAAGTGTCTCAAATGGAAGACAGCCAGCATTTCTGTGTGTGTGTGTGTGTGTCTGTGTGTCTGTGTGTGTGTGTGTGTGTGTGTTTTTGCTGACATAAGTGTCGGCTTCAGTTGTAAAAAAGCACACTTTTACAAAAATAGCAAACTATTTTCAGTCCAAACGTGGGCTGAATTAAATCTCTCTTTTTGTCTTAACACACAAAGATGCACTAAAGACCCTGAAGGTGTCATTTTACTGGAGAGTCAGAAAGTGTTAGAAGTGCTTTCAGCCCACAGCATCGTACGTTAAGTGTAGCTTGACCGTCCAAGAAGTCAGATATACATTATTTATCAGGTTTGACAAAAATGAATAAAAACAGTCTGCAATGTAATGCAAACCAACAAATGCTCCCGTTATGAAGGTTTTATTGTTATTATTATTTAAGTGTTCTTAGAAACTGTTTTTGAGCTTTTGATTTTAGCTTTTGGCATCTTTCAAAGATGCATTTTGTTGCTTCGATTATAATGACGGGCTACTCTGAACTCTCACTGATACGATCATGGTATACAAAACATTTAGTTTAAATGTGATAAAACTCAACAATAGGAACAAAACACATTTTAAAAGACACTACTTAAGACCTTTGTATCTGACTGGGTTCATTTTAAAGCTCATGTGAACATTTCTAGGTTTGTGTTGATCTTGGCGCCCCCTGTGGACAATGTGTAGATGTAGATGTGTAACCCTGCTGGTTCTTTCTTTATTTAATTGCTTAGATGTGACCGATCCTAATGAAATATTTTTTCCCCAATCAGAGTCGTTTTATGAGTGTTTCCTCATCGACGTCTCGTTGTGTTTGTCCACAGGCTCTTCAATCTGACCCTGAAGAAGCTGATTATGCTGAAGGAGCTGGATAAAGACCTCACCTCTGTGGTCATCGCCGTCAAACTGCAGGTACTCGTGCTGTATTCAAATAGTACAAAACACGTTTTCTGACAGCAGCAGAACACATTTGAATTGAGAATTGAAGTCTGATGTGCTCTTTCTTTTCAATAATTGAGGAAAACCAATGACTTCTTTGTGAACATAAAATACACCTTACAAGGTTTTAATTCCCCTTTAACGCTCTGGCTCCACTCCTAGTTCGTCCTTCTTGGCTTGTTTTCTTTTACCATCTCCATCTTGTTTGCTATCAAAGTCGACCAATACATTCTCTTTAGATTCTGGCACGTAACACTTGAAGCTGCTTTAATTCTTTTTCTTCACGCTGTTGCTTCCACATCCTCAATCTTTCCTCTTTCCTCCCTCCTATTAGTCAATTTCCGTCTTTTTCTCGACCTCCTCCGCTCCCACGCTTCCCTCGCTGCGTGCGGTAGATGAGAGTTCATTGTTTTGACTCGGCTGGAGTCGGCCTCGGCGTGCTAACAGTAATCTTTCCTTCTTTCCCCCTGCGCTCATGATGTCTCCTTTCTCTGTCGCCTCCTCAGGGCTCCAAGCGGATCCTTCGCTCCAACGAGATCCTGCTGTCCTCAGCGGGGCTGACAGAGACCGACCTGCAGCTCACCTTCTCCCTGCAGGTGAGGACTCAGTCATGTCAGGTGTCTGTCAGTCAAAAGGCAAACAAGAGACTTTTGTTCTTTGTGCTTTTATGATCCAACAGAAATGGACAAAAATAACAAGCTTTTGGATCTTCTTGGCTATAAATAACTAAATCCCTTCCACATCAGCTTTAAAAAGTGGAAATGTCACCTGAATAAGGAACATTTTTTATATATATATTTCATAATAATGAAAAAAAGTTAGCTGTTAAAAGTAGAGATCGACCGATAAATCGGCCGGCCGATAATATTGGCCGGCTGATATCGATATTGGCATACCCCCAGTGACTATCGGTATCGGCTAATGTTATCGCAGATATGCGCCGATATTACAAGATCTATTCAGCAGTCACATAGCATTTCATTTGAGTATCATTGTATTACACTAGCAGCTCTCTTTCACCAGCAGAGGGCGCTATTTGGATCACTACAATTATTATCACTCTCCAGAGTGATGCACCTACTTGCATGGTTACTTCCATCTTGTCTTCAGTATATATCTTTTCCACGAGTGTTTGATAACTGCATTTGAGGAATCAACGCAACAAATGTGTATATCTATCTATCTCTACGGATTTCATAGAGCTAAGAAAAATATCGGCCGATATATCGGTATCAGATTTTTCTCTTTCCCAAATATCGTTTCAGTATCGGCCCCAAAAATTCTGCATCGGTCGGACCCCTTTGCAAAAGTTTTCATCCTTATGCAATTTGTTGCCACTAAAGTAAGAGTTCATTTGTTTTTCCCACTCTGTATGAAAAAAAATTATCTATAAAAAAAAAAAAAAAGGGTCTAATTAAAAAGCTTGTGCTTACAGATACATGGTAAATGTTGCTCCGGTTCAGAGATGCCATATGTAATCATTATTAGACCTCATTGAGCGCCTTACACTCTCTACCTCTGTGCTTAATGTAACTCCCAGTGAGGCTTTCTCTGCTCCAATTTATCATTTTCAATTTCCATGTTTCTAAATGCTGCTAAAAGGTCAGGGAATTTCTCTCTCTTGATGTTAGCGAGAGCAGTGAGCCAGACATTATACATTATACATTAAAGTTACGGCGGCTGCAGCGGCACTGCAGAGAGGAAACCTATTAAAACCGAGCGGCAGAGTGATTTCACGGCTTTGAAAGTTGTTAAAGGACTCGATTTTTGTTCCATTTATAGTGCAGCCGGTGAGATCTGTAATGACGAGTTATGTCATAGTTCGGATGTGACTAAGAGCGTCGACACTTCGGGACGCCGGAGACAGGTCAGCGGGTGCGAACGTGTTACGCAACAGGCCTTTAGATCGGCCTCATTATCATGACCTGGGAAGCTGATGTCATCTGAACCCGTTGAGCGAGTCAGTCATCGCCCTGTCAGCGGTTTTCTGAGCACGTGTGTAACTCTGGACGTGTTTGTTTACATTTGTGTACCTGCAGTATCCACACTTCCTAAAGAGGGACGCCAACAAGCTTCAGATCATGCTGCAGCGACGGAAGAGATACAAGAACCGGACCATCCTGGGCTACAAGACTCTGGCCCTGGGACTCATCAACATGGCCGAGGTAACGCAACCCGATTCATTCCTTTAACACCGAAACAGAAAACAACACAACTGTGACTCACAGTACTGTGTCCTGCTACTCTCCCACTTTGCATTTATCACATTCAATAGCAATTTAAAGGGAAATATTTTATAATTTCAGAGATTTTTATTTTACATTTTACAAACACTCATACATCTTTTACAAAAAAAATGTAAAACAGCAGCAGACGAGTGCTAATAAACATAAAAAAAAAACAAGATTCTGCGATCGATTACAAATAATCATAGGCCTCTTCATGGTTGATTTGTTTGATATAAGTTTGTCCTTTTAGGCCAACAAAAAAGAAAATGTCTGTGGGTTCTCCTTCAGTTGACCCTCCATTTTAATGATTCTAGACACAGCGTCCTTGAAGGGGTTATTTTATTTATTTATTTATTTTTATTTTACAGGGACATTGCATATTAATAAACATTTCAATAAATATGCCAGAGTTAGCCAAAAGGCTCATTTTCATCTGTTGCCGCTGGCCAGATTTTATAAAAGGCTCCCTAAAAAAAAAAAGAAACAGCAAAACAAGTATTAGTAAAAGCACGTATCCAATAACCTACTGGGGCTGTAACTCCCTGAGACGCTGTATTGAATTGCCTTCAAACATTTTTCTATTCAGAGACACAAAGTCGTTTGAAAATGAGTCTGAATAGTCTGCTCCTGTTAAAAGAAGCGCTGGCATTTTATTGGTTTTTCTTTTTTATTTCAAGAGGTGAGAAACCTGAAGAGTATTTTTCCAAATGAATGACTGATTTTTTTCACTGGTCTAATAAAACAGCTTAAGGCTGGATGAAAAGAAACTTTCATGCAGACAAAATGCTGGAATCTGTTTGTGTATTTCCAGCACACATCCAGCAGCAGATGGAGGTTGAGCTGCATGTTTAAGGGTCAGCTGCGAGTTGTTGAGTCAGCGGAGTGTCTTCAGCTGGACGAATGTCCCAGATGATCTGAGCTTGTTGACCCAACAAACGAGCGGCCACGGGCTCATTTCCCTAAAACACGAAGCCTCTGCCTCCTGCGTCTGTGCAATCTCCGACTAACATCATGTCAGAGTAAACAGGATGCGCTTCTCTCTTGCAGATCAAATCTTCCACATAAGTCCCTTTTATCTACTGGAGACTTTCATTCAAACTTATGTAGTTTCCGACCTTTATTTAACCTCCATCTGGACCCAATTCTCCCAAGTGCACTTAAAACCAAAGTCAGACTTGGATCTTTGGCCTTGTGTTCTCTTCTCAGCTGCCATAAATGTCGCCATAAATCAAAAAAAACTCCCAATTAAATTTCAGCCTCTTCTGCCAAAAGCACCTCACGTTCCCCTCTAACAATATGAAGCCTTTATGATAAAAAAAAAAGGACTGTGATTCATGGTGTGTCTTCAGTGCACATGAGGATATTCTGGGTGGCTTCGTCTGAGAGTGAAGTCTGAATTATTTAAAGTGTAGAACACCTTGAACAAACGGTTTCACCTCAAAGTACTTTATGGAGAGAAAAAGACATAAATAAGGACTTGGTCAAGAAACAGACTCAGGTTTTTTTTTTTCTATATTTCTTCCCAGATCAAAAGCATTCTCCTTTTTTATAGTGTTGTTCCAGTCTTTAAAGATACCTGCTGGCGGTCAAAGCATGTAAAAATAAAGTCTATTCACGAAGCTGCTTCGGTCGACAGGTTTGCTTCAAAATGCCCTAAAAAGGACCCAAATGCAGACCTATACGCATGATGGGTTCATACTCACCTTCTTCTAAAGGCACAATAAAAGTTTCTGCAGCGTGAACCAGCCTGGTGGATTTTAGCCCAGAGCCCTGTGTGTGTAGGTGTGAGTGTGCACGCTGTAAGGGACACACTTGGTTTTCACTTAATACATTTGTATCTGAAATGTCATTTTGACTGTGCTGTAGTGTGACAGGTTCCACTGTCCTTACAGGTATTGTGAGGACGTATTGTTGGAAGTCTTATTTTAACTTGTGAGAGGTCTTAATGGTTGGAAGTCACTTTGACTAGGAAGTTTCTAAATGGTAAATTGTAAATGGTCTTGAGCTTATATGGCGCTTTTCTGTTCCTCCGACTACTCAAAGCGCTTTTACTCTGCAGGTCACACCCACCTTTTCACACACTGATGGTAGTGATCGCTATGTAGTATCATCAGAAGTAACTAATCCCATTCATACACCGCCAACGAAGCAGCAGGAGCAATTCAGGGTTAAGTGTCTTGCCCAAAGTCAAAGTCAACTTTATTGTCAATTTCAGAATATGCCAGACATACAGTGGAATCGAAATTGCGTTTGTCTCCGTCCCGCGGTGCAGTACAACCAAAATAAGATAAAATAAGATGAAATAAAATGAGGTAAAATGAGATAAATAATATTTACAGTAATAAATTCTAAATTGTGCAAAAGGTACAAAACAATCGGACATGACATCGAACCCTCGACCTTCTGGTTGAGAGGCGACGACTCTACCACTGAGCCACAGCCGCCCAATCTACTCTGCTAAGGCAGTATATGATTTGTTTGTGGATTTTCTTCTTGTGGATTCATTTTTTTCATGTGACCATTAACAGCAGCCTATAACGTGCCCGTTCAAAAACCAACAGAAGAGAGAAGGCGAAGAAGTTTGGGGGGAAAAAACGCTTTCTTTTATCCGAACTTGACCTCATTATTCATCATAATATCTTTTTAGTTTTTCCCATTTTTTTTTTTTATTTGAATTTGCAAAACTTTCAAGTTCATTTCGTTTTGCTTTCTCATTGCTGTAAAAAAAACAAACAAAAAAAAACATGCTGCTGCACACAGTCATGGAGGGTGAAATTGCTCACATTGAAGATTCAGAAATAAATCACTGCATACGTTTCTGCATAATGCACTACATCAGTGAAGGTTGTATTTCAACTCTCTGAGGTCTTTTTAATGCATTCTGAAAAAACGAACCCGCAGAATCCATCCATCCATCCATCAGGCTTTTCAAATCGTCCCAGCGTTTTCCTCGTCACATTTGCATTCTCGCTCTCCTGACTAGAAAGTGGTTAAAATTGGCAACCGCAGGATGTTTGAACAGCACACAGGTTATCTGAACATCGGCCAAGTAAACAGATGTAAAGCAGTAACGTCTCTTTAATGTGTGGCTGAGGCTGTCTCCATAATAAGCTGCTCAGACTTCATTAACTTTGCGAGCGTGACCAGACTGCTGAGACAGGCTGGATGTCACTCAGTTTGATACACACACACACACACACACACACACACACACACACACACACACACACACACAGGAGACGTGATGCTGCTGTTTGCTGCCGCAGCAGAGAGAAATGATTTTAGCGCCTCACATGTTCATGTTTTCTCTGTTGTTGTTTTCAATGACAGTCTCTGCTTTGTTAATCCCTTACTCTGCTATTCTTGTTTATCTTCAGCCTCCTTCTCTCTGCTCGTTCTGTTATCATCCTCCTCTGAACGTCTGCCTCGTGTCTTAACTCATGTCTTCTCTCTATGCTGTCTGACCCGTCCCTCTGCATTTTTCTCTTTCCTCTACAAAGCCTGTCCTCCTCTTTCGGTTCTTCCCCTAAAGCTGTTTAAATCATGTTTAAGGGTTTCTTTTTTCTTGCTTGCTTGTTGTGTGTATGAGGATCATAATTGAAAATGTTCTGCATGCTCTTCTTTCTTTAAGTGACAGTCCTGTTTTCATTACCCTCCTAGCTAGAGGGGATGTTAATTAGGGAGTGGGTAAAACTCAGAAAATTAAAAATGTTTAGTTTTTGAGTCCAGGACTTGGACTCAAGTCTGACTCGAATCCCATAACTCGACTTAGACTCGAGCACTGATGACACTGACTTGGACTTGGGCTCGAGGATTGACTGCGTTCGGAAGCTGGAGAGAACAACTCGGATTTGTTTATTCATTTTTTGTTTTATTGTTTTTCTTTGAAGAGAATTAGTGAGGGACATGTGCTCTCAACCTTCCTAAAAGAGCACATGTCACTCCGCTGTTCATCTCCTTACACTGGCTCCCAGTTACTGCTCGCATCAAATTTAAAACTCTGCTGCTCGCTTACAGAACAGCGACACAAAACGTCTCCTCCTTACTTTAACTCTCTCATCCAGGTCTACACTCCCTCCCGCCCACTACGCTCTGCCAATGAAAGGCGTCTGATCCAACCTTCACAACAGGGTCCTAAGTCTCTGACTAGACTCTTCTCCTCTGTCGCCCCCCGGTGGTGGAATGAACTTCAGTCCCTCTGCACCTTTAAGAAAAAGCTAAAGACCCAGCTCTTTCATGAACACCTACTAACTTAATGATGATGGTCTCGGTATCATTGATGATGATGATGATGGTTGTCACGATTGTTTTTGTTTGATAACGACGACTTATAAGATGGTTTCTATACTGATTAGAGCTCTCAAGAACTGCCCTCAATGTTGTGCCTTGCCTCTGGTCACTTCCTGTCAGCACCTGTGTGTCCAATCAGACTCAAAGCTGATCGTTTGCTCTTACTGACATTGTTCCCTTTTTTTCTAGATCCTTGCTTGTGTTGTTCTTACTCTCTGATGTACGTCGCTTTGGATAAAAGTGTCTGCTAAGTGAATTGTAGAATTAAAGAGATTTACCCGAAATGTACCGAGAAGACTTACACAGCAACACCGTGACATGATCATTAAACTGTAATTTTCATTTCTGTGCTGCCACAAGGTTCCTATTTTCTAGTTATTACGAGCAACACCGTGCAAGGATTAGATTCCGAAAGGGGAAGTTGTGTCAGCTGTTTGGAGAATAGCAGTTGGAATAGCACAGATTTTTCATGCAACTTGTCAGCATTGTCTGTTTTTTTTTCTTCTTCTTGGTCCAGGTGATGCAGCACCCAAGTGAAGGCGCCCAGGTCCTCGGGCTCCACAGCCAACTTAAGGACGCCTCAGTGCCCGTCGCAGAGATCCGAGTGTACTCCCTGTCCAGCCAGCCCATCGACCATGAGGGCCCTAAAGCAAAGATGTCTGGTAAGCCAATCATGTGTCAGCAAATATTTGTCTCTCTTTTTATCTATTAGTTCTTCTCTCTTTGAATTTGTCCTTACCACCCCCTCTATGCCTCCCCAGATCGATCTCCAGACATCGACAACTACTCTGAAGAGGAGGAGGAGAGCTACTCGTCAGAACAGGAAGGCAGCGATGACCCCATTCATGGACAGGTGTGTTTGGATACGAGCAAATGATTGTTTAAGCTGCTGATTACTTGCTGCTTTAACCTCTTAAGTCAATTTGCCAACCAAGCGAGACGTGTAAACAGTGTCATCAAGCATGTTCTCACAGATTCTCATGAGTTATTTCACAAGATTTATTTACTTTTTGATTTATTTAAGCTTTATGATCTACACAAATGTTTCACTTTGAGCTGTTTTGGCAAAAATGTTCCCTTTCTTGAAAATGCGGTATCTCAGGAACACCTTCAGGGAATTTCTTCAAATTTGGTTCAAATGTAAAATAGGATGTCACATACCAATGGAAGGAATCAGAATGGTCTGTTACAAAGTGCATTGCTAACAATGCAGAACATACAGATATTTCAAATTAGATTTTTGTTCCTCTCAATCAACGCTAATAGAAATCAGATGAACAAGGACATCAGCATAAACAAGGTCGAGTCAAATCAATTATGTTTCCTGAGTGTCCTTAGGAAGAACGGTCCGCTGCGCCTCCTGAAGAGGGCTTCAGTGTTGTGATGTATTTTTGATTTAGACCCTGAGGTACTTGTGAAGTCCACCCTCTTTACTTCATCTCCCCATTGGTGACAACCAGGACAGGAGGCCTGCTGTTCCTCTCCAACACGAGCTCATTGGTTCTCCTGGTATTCAGATTCAGGTGGTTTTTACAGCATGTGACAGCGCTTTCATTCAGTCCGCACTGCTGCTCTGTAAAAATAGTCTTAAAGTGAAGATGCTATGAGTTATGAGTTGGGAGTTAGTCACTAGAATCTCACATGTCAATTTAACAATGATGTCCACTCCACTTAAATAACATGCGATTCATTTTATTGAAAGGACATGGATGTAAACTTTTTTCTAAGCTGCTTGTGGCCGTTCCAACTTTTATTGTGTTGTTTGTATAGTGTGATAGGATGTGAAGGGAATCGGTGCGAGAGATTGTAGGAGAGAGAGTGAAAGGAGTGAACAGACAGTGGGAGAGATAAGACAGGAGCGAAGAAGGCTTTGGACGCCGGATTGAAAAGAGTGAAAGAGAGGGAAGCTGAGCGACGGGAGACGAAAGAGAGAGTGGGTTGACGGGTGAAGGAAGCTACTGAATGGCAGGAGCAGTGAGATGTGACGGAATCAAGGGTGAAAGACTCAAATTGAACGCAGCTTGTGTTCAATATCCTGGTTTAACAATAGGGATATTTTTGGCGAGAGATGGCCATAATTTCTCTTTGGGGAGTCGCTGTAGTGTGGGACCATGGCAACATCAATAAGAATCTAGAGCGGTGGTGAAGCACAAGGGATTAGACTATCGTAATGTTGGGGGGAGGGGCACTGGTTGAAACACTGGCCAAAGTTTGCAAAATAAAAGGATAAGGTTGATCCCCACTTTCTGAACCCTCGATGTCTGTTGTGTTTGGTTATTCTTAAACTTGTAAATCTTTAAAAATCGACCATAAAGATTCAGTATAGCTCAATAATAGTCAATTTTCAAATAGTTTGTTCCTTAAAGGCTTTATATGCGATTTTTTGATCCAGCAGATGTCGCCCTTGAGCACCAGCATGAAACCAAAACAACTCGCGCTGCATTGTTGTGTTAGCATGCTAATGCTAGCGATCTTTATTATGCTCGTATCTTCACACTGCATGTAAATTTACCTGAAATGAGCGTGATCTAGAAACACAGTTAAGCAGTGAGTACAGTATGTTATTCTTCTTTTCTCTAGTCCCTCAATTAAACAACTTTTATACACGAGGGGAGGAGTCAGCCAGCTGTCCTGGCGATGTAAACAAAGTGAAGATAGGACTCTGAAAGCATCACAGACAGTGGGACTCAGGTGTTACAGCCATTGTAGACAGTCATGACTCACAGAGTTATTTTCAGAGGATATACTTGATTTCTACATGTAAGTGTGAAAAATCACATATAAAGCCTTTAATATTATACCGGTGTTCATTTTTATCGTTTTTTTATTTTTTATTACACAATTTTATGACAAGAAGGAAAATGTAGCATATTGCCATCTTTTTTTTTTTCTCCAAAGCCCTTGTGTAATACCAAGAATTAATTCTGTCATGTTAAGAATAATACCTTTTCTTATTCACAGTATCTGTTTGACGAAGAAGACGAAGTGAGGAAGAAGAAACCGAGACGCAAGCTGCCTTCAAATGCCGCCATCACCAGAGTAAGAAAATCACCCCTTACCCCTTCATTGAACCATCCATCAGCTTCTCTACTTCTTTCTCTCTCGCAATTTGCAGCAAACTCTGGAGTGTCCCCTCATCTGCCTCTCGCCTCACCTCATTCAACCTCTCCTAGTCACTTTCCTCCTTATCTGCTCCCCATGCCTCCCTCCACCCCACTCTCTCTCTCTCCCCCTGTTTGCCACTTTGTCTATAAATCCATTTTCTGTACTGCAGGACAATTTCTCTAGGAAGAAAACACTGGGACAAGTCAACGCATGCACTCCTCATAACACCAACCTGCATGGACACATATGCACACGTATACACAAACAACCTTTATCCACAATCACTCAGCAGGAACACAGATAAGAACACAAAATTGTCTGCCACCCTGAAAGTTACGATGAAATGCAATTTTTTTTTTCAGAATGACAGCAAGTGTGTGTTTTGTGTGTACACAGTATTTGTGTGAGCTTGTAGCAGCAGGAGTTTGTCTCAGCAGGTTATTAATGAAGCACCCATGTGGAGGTCTCTGTGAGATTGTCACTGCTGCTCCCCTAACACCACCGCCTGTGGACACACACACACTCACACACACACACACACACACACACACACACAAACTTGTATTTCTGCCTTTCTGAGAACCCTCTTTCACACATTGCAGACAAAATGCGTAACCTCTTTTATATGAAATCTAAATACCTAACCCTAGACCTTATCCTTACCTGTACCTTTAAACCAAGTCTCAATCTTTAAACAATCCTTCAAAGAAGTGACGAAAATAAAGGTCCTCAGTCAGCAGGTTAAAACTTTGACATGGTCCTTACAAAGACATAAGTACAAGAATACACACACACACACACACACACACACATACAGAAACATAGTTGCACTGTACAGTTTTTATTGATGATATTCGCAAAGCATTTGCAAGTGTGTTTGCTAGTCCATAAATAAATAATTTTTTATTGATTTTATTTAATGTCAAGTGTAATAAACAAGCTGTTAAGTGTTAGTGAGTTTTAGCTCATTGTTTAGCTCTCCCTTTAAAACTCTAATGCTTCAATTAACTCCAACTATATATTCATATTTTAAAGAAATAAAGCTCCAGAAAAATACTCTTACCCTGCTCAGCACTTAAAGCGCAGCCGGACACACTAGCTGTGAACATGTGGAACATTTAAGTACAAAAGAAGCCAGATATTTATTTCTTAAGATGTTGGAGACCAAAAGTGGAGCTCGAAGAAGATAGTGGATTGACATTTATCAGGTGGTTGTCAACATGAATCTTTTTGTTACTATTATTTTATAACTTCTAAATGTTTTAACTAGCAGCTCTTTGCTAACAAGTTAACCACATGGACTTAAAGGTGCTTTTTTTTTGTTATGTTCAGAGATTGTACTCCCTGCTCCCTAGGGCCAAAAAAAAAAACAGCTTTGGAAAGTTTGACTTGTTTGGATAAATCTAATACAGCATAAAAAAAAATGGGAAAAGCCAAAGATTCCTCATTTATTATAGAATATATCAATCTGGAGTTTTGAACTGCAAGTATTTAGATTTATGGGATATTTGAGGAGAAACCTGAGCTGCTGAGTCACTTTTGATAAATATTATATGAAGTATACCTTCCTCTTCAAATATGTAACAACTCTATTTTTCTAAATCAGGCAAACATCTGCAGTAGGAAGCCTCAACTTTCTAGGCTAAAAAAACACACCCCAGTTTAATAATACAGGATGCAGCCTACATATAGACATCAGCACAAGAAGACACAATTTGCTTTACATGACACACTGACATATGCTCTATAAGGTGCCCAGTAACTACTTTTTTCTTGAGTTGTGAAGCATGACATACTAGCTCAGAATTTACCTTTCAGTCCTGTCATTGTCATCTTCCACGCCATGCCCCCCCTCCCCCCCCCCCCCCCCCCCCATCTAACAAACACATCCAGAAATATGAACCCAATTCTCCTGAGGGTCTCATGTTTTCCTTTTTTCTTTTTTTTCTTTCTTTGTTCCTGCAGCAACCGAACATCAAGCAGAAGTTTGTCGCCTTGCTGAAAAGGTTTAAAGTCACCGATGAGGTAGGTCACACATCCACTTGATGTGTGAGTCTTCAGCGTGTGTGTTTGCAGGAGTCAACATGTTATTTTCAGTCGTGGCTTTGAAGGCACAGAGAGGTGTGTGGGAGAGATGTGGCAGGAGATTCAGCTGACAGCTCGAAGAAAAGAAACACCTAACGTTGTCAGTTAAAGTAGAGAGATATACACCTTTACAGGATGTTGACACTTTTTTTTTTCATAGTTTCTATATGTGTGAACAGAAATGTTTTTCGAAGCTCAAGGACACTTGTCTGTTTTGCTGTTTTCTTCTGTCTTCCTCTGCATGTGTCGGCCGGTCACGTGTCCCCTCTTTGTTTTGTCCAGGTCGGTTTTGGCCTAGAGCATGTCTCCAGGGAGCAGATCCAGGAGGTGGAGGAGGACCTGGACGAGCTCTACGACAGTCTGGAGATGTACAACCCCAGCGATAGTGGGCCGGAGATGGAGGAGACCGACAGCATCCTCAGCACCCCCAAACCTAAGCTAAGGTAACAGAACAGGCAGGGCCACGATATCAAGGCTATAAAGAGTTAATCAAACTGATACTGTCCCAATAAAAATGAAAAAAGTAAAAAAAAAAAAAAAAAACAGACTTAAACCTGCAAATTATCATATATAGAAGACGATGTGGACGTTTCCCTCTGGGAAGATGATTTAATTTGCAATTTCAAAAAGGATAATCAATTGTAGTGTATATAATTAAAAAAGCATATTTAAAATGT